TTATATTGATGACATGTGCAGAATCTGCAATCTCTGTTTTTTCCCCCTGCCAGATAGTAACTCAACTATTGATTGATCAGGATATTGATTTGGATTTGGTGGTTTGTTAGCTGTGGACACTAACCCCATTTATCATCTTTTTCATTCTCAACACAGGAAAATAGTTTTGTGCCAAAAAATGCGAGGCAAAATATGTTTGTTTTGTAGTTTGAAATAAGGCTAAAAGATCGTTTTTTTCCCCCTCAAGTTTAACATGAGAAACCACAGTAGATTTGACTTTTTTTTTGATTTATAGATACTGTTCAATACTATGTTGTTGTTTTTAAACGATCCAATCCCTGTGTTGTTAATGTACAAAGTACCAAAGCTTAACAAAAAACTAGAAATCTCTACCTTCTTTTTTTAGCTAAAAGCTTCTGCTTGTGAAAGGTAGAGCAGAGGTGGTCCATTCAGATTCACATGTCACAAGTAATGAAGTTTCAGTTCCCTTAATGTCTCCTGAACACGGAGCAGAAGACACGGCCTAAATCAGGGCTGGGAACGAGTACTCGAGTACTTGTTGTTGAGGCTATTACTCGTGTAACGTTTGTTACTTGTGCACACACGATCACATTGTTGTTGTTCCACTGAGTTAGCGTTACATGTGCAATCCAAATTCCTGCGGTTAACACCGAGGTAGAACTTCTCCCGCCACGACTTCAGCTTTATTCGACATCACACATTTGCGCGGCGAGCAGGATTACAGCGGCAACTGCTTCACGCAGCTACGTTACTTCTCAAGTGACCCGACACATTACTCAAAAGGAGAGAGCACACAAAAAAAAAAAAAAGACAACAAATGGAAGATATGTGCTTTAAACGCATATCATAGAAATACGAGTTAGATGTTAAACCACATTTAGCACACGAGCTTAAAGAACAAGGAGATAGCAGCGGAGACAGACAACAGGCAGGCTCACTGTGCATCGCCCCGTTGGCACACGGCGTTGTGATGACACCCGAGCGGAGAAGAATAACCCACTAATAACCTACGGGCTGTGGTTGTGTTGTGATCCATGGAACGCTCAATCAAAACGAACACATTGACGATGTTTCGATGAAATGCTGCCAACCCAAAGACTTAACTGTCCCGACTTTCCTGTCCACGTCAGGGTCTCGATGCAGGAATGGCTCCTCGAGTGGACGATGTCATGCGCCTGTGCTGTAAAATATCAGCTCATGATCAGATCAAGGTGGCGGTGAAGAACTCCACCAAAGGGGCCGTGGTTGCAGGAGGAGCTGCGTTCGTATGCGGGATGCTGGCTGGACCTCCGGGGATCGCTGTCGGTAAGACAAACAATGCTCGGACAAAAACGACTAATTGTGATATGTGAAGCTTTCTGATGAACCTCCAATACAGGCACCACCACATTGAAGGGAAGATTTCAAAGAGGTGTAAAATCCTGCCGTGATTAGGAAATATAAATTGAGCTTCTGTCAACATCAAGGAGAGGTGGAGGAGCAGTTTCTCTTTGACCCAGACACGTTTAAGAGGGTACAGTTAATATCCAGGTCCAGAGCTGACGCTTATGGTAAATGGACTTGAGCTTGTAGAGCGCTTTTACACCGCAGGTCACACCTACACATTCACACACTGATGGTAGAGGCTGCTGTGTGAAGTGACCATCAGAAGTAACTCATCCGTTCACACACATTCGACTAAGCAGCAGGAGCGACTCGTGGTGAAGTGTCTTGACCGAGGACACATCGGACATGTTGCTGCAGGAGCTGGGGATCGAATCCTCAACCTTCCTGTTGAGAGACGACTGACTCTACCACTGAGTCACAGCCGCGCTAATGCAAGAACATGATTCTATTGTAAATGTTCCTTCAGTAACAGCACAATGTTTAGCGTACAAAATCATTTTTTAAAAGTCATTCTCGAGCAGAAGTGCTGCGAGACAAATTTTGTAACCTAGCAGCAGATATCAGACTCAGAATCAGAATCAGAATCGGGGTTTATTGCCAAGTACATTTACACATACAAGGAATTTGACTTCACAAAATGTACAAAAGGTGCATTGTAGGAGCTGTGCAGTGGAATATAAGAAAGTGTCCATGAAGAACGCTCTGATAAATTGAGGTAGTGGGCAAAAAAAGCTGTTTTTGTAGTTTCATTACCAATTAATATTTGCAGAAATAGAAAAATGATCATATAAACAACATTAGCAGTTTTGTTTCACAGCAACACGTTTCTTGATGTAACCAGCCGTTCAAAGGTGTGAGTGTGAGTGGAGGTCTGGACTGGTTTCACCTCCAGGTGTACAGAAAGATTTAAAATGTGTAGTCTGGTGTCTTTTCAGTTTTTATCGGACACTTCATTTGAAGAACCCTGAACCTGTAACTGACCTCCTCCTCTTCCTCCTCCTCCTCCTCCTCCTCCTCCTCTGACTCTTCCAGGTGGAGCAGTCGGCGGTCTGTTGGGCAGCTGGCTCACCAGCGGGCAGTTCAAACCTCTGCCTCAGATCCTGATGGAGCTGCCTTCCAACCAGCAGCAGAAGCTCTATAACGACGTCTTGGCCGTCATAGGAACCCTGGACTGGACTGATGCAGCGCAGCTCATCGCCCTGGTGATGGGCAATGCAACGCTCCAGCAGCAGGTCACCGCTGCGTTACTAAACTACGTCAGCAAGGAGCTCAGGGCGGAGGTGCGCTATCAGGACTGAGGCATCGATGCTCATGGACCGTTTCTCCCAAAACACAAGCACAGTACTTAAAACACATTTTAGAATCAATCGGAAGAAAGACTGTGAATCATGAATGTTATCCTTGATGGCTGAGCCAATCAGAGCAGAGAGCCTTCAGAGCGTCTGATGTCATCACAAGAAGGGAATCATCACTCAATCATTTACATCCTCTCTGCTTTTTTAAAACAAGTTTTAAAAAAAGTGCCTGGGAAATCATTTATTCTGGATTATGATACAATCTCTTTGTCCCCCAATTGGAATCAGGGTGTTTTTGTACCTCCATTTTATATCTTTAGGCTTTATAATTAAATTAAGTGTTGAAGCTATTGTGCTTTTGAGTCATTATTTGCTGGTGTGAAGTTTTTTAGGATTATAAGGTCAATTCCAGAAAACACCATCGCTCTGGGTCATAGGGGAGAGATGATTGGGGAACAACATGCAGGAGAGGAGCCACAGGCCAGATCTGAACGTGGGCCGTCCACCTGAAAGACCACAGTCTCTGTACATGGGAACTTCCAGACTTAAACTTGTTTTGGTCTCGTTTATAAGAATAACAAACCCGTCTTGAATCTCCTGCTCTCAGTTTGAGTGTTTGAAGAGAAACTTCAGATTTATGAGACAGAAAGTAACACTTGTGTCTCTTTAGTCCAAAGCAGGAAGCATACATTTAAAACTTAAACCTCAAAAGTACAAACCAATCAACAAATGGATGAAACAAGCAATCAAAACCTGTGTGGAGCTTTACATTTCATTAAAATAAAATATTCACGACACATTTCTTCAAAAGAATATACATTTTGTTTCTTTTTCAAACACCAGCTTTTATCGCAATTTAGTTGTCCGCTTCTTTATTTCATGTATTTCTTCCAAAAAAAACTCCTGCCCCGTAGTAATCCACATATGTTTGGATCATTAGAAACAAATCTAATCTTTGAATAAAGTACAGGTGATAAACATTTATAAAAAAAACAATCTCCTTCTGTCTTACACCCCCCACCCTGTGGTGCCTCCTCCACCAGCAGTATCCCGTCTGCAATGGAAGCTGGTGAGAGTTTCCAGCAGTTTAACCTGGGACAACGCAAAGCCTCCTTTATTAATCGATAATACGTTGGCCTACACATTTAATAAAATAAAGTGTAAACACTATGTCACACCTTTAGCGTATTGATTTTCTTTATAAATACATCAGTGAGTGATTATCTCTGTTTTATACACAATTTATCCTCAAGCATACAAACATCCAATGCCTGATATAAAGGTGTAAAAAATCTTATTAATAAAACAGAAACAGTGATTTTGATGACCTGTATGTTTTTGAATGACCATCCAGACTCTCTCCAGAGTGTGTTTATTTTTCTGCACCCGTCTTTGTTGACATTGGAAATCAATCAGAGCTCATGTTGAACAAATGTGAGGGTACAACAGTGCAAAGGTTCCTGTCACCAGTCAAAGCTCTTTAGGTAAAAAAGGTGAAAAAGTCTCACAAAAAAAAATAAACATGGCCCTGATCTGTTGTTATGCATCTTTGTCAGCTATTTGCAACCATAAGACATGTGTGCAGTTTTTAAAACAGGCGTAAATCAAATGTAATTACAGAGTGTCTGATTCCTGAGTGTGTTTGATGAACAGGTTATATTTCAGGTCACCACGACATAAGGTGACCATATTTTTAAACGTCCAAATCACAACACTTTAACTTGACACAAACCCCTGTATCGATCCACTACCTCCATCCTGTACCACACCGTTTGTGTTTGCTCATTTTAATAAGACTTAGTACTTCAACATGTCCACGGCGGGTGACACACAGAATATTCATCGTCTGGTACTTTTCAAAGGAAGCTGTCCCTCTCTTGGAGCTCTTTAGGAAACACCTTTTCAGCATGACAGCTAGCTTACCTGTCGTTACACAGCAGGTGTTGTTAGCATGATAAGCTAGGATAGCTGAGGAACAGCTGTAACCCCGGAATGAATGAAGCATGAACAGATAAATCAGTACTGAACTTTGACTCGAACTTGGTGCATCAGTGATCTTTTTCTATCGGTTAAAACAACAACATTAACATTTAAACAGACAATCAGTGATGTAAGCACAGTGTTTTGTTTTGATTGGTTAAAATCGGACAGGACTGTTTTTTTTATCCTTAAGCGAGAAACATTTACACACCTCCTGTTTGTTGTGTGCGAATGTCCAACAGAGGAGAGGAGTGGCAGAATCATATGGCACTGAACATGTTAGGGCCTTCAGCAAAACAACTTGTTTCACATGTTTTCCTTACTAAGAAATGGAAGTCTTCAAAGAAAGACAGAAGCTCGGCTTCAAATAGTTGAAGTGTGTCAAACACCTGATTTATATTTCTTTTGTTTCTATGTTATGATTTAGTTCATCTGACTCACCAGCTGCTGACAGTGAGCACTTGGTCTGGTGAATGTGAGCAAAGACAAATGATAAGTTGACCAGAGTGCAAAAATTAGAGTAGTTATGTTAAACTTTTGAACATGTCTTTTTTTGTGTTTTTAAATCTCATTTTGTTTCATACGTTTTCTTTCAGCACTCTTACTACAGTGCATGAATAAGGCGATGGCTCTGATGTAAGTTTCAAAGGACAAATCATGTCGTTTTTGTTGTTCTTTCAGTTGCCTTTTGTGTTTAAGACTTTCTTTTCTTTTCAAAGATAACGTCTAAAGGTGTGTACAATGTGAGGTCGGTATGAGTGACAAGCTGACCATGACAGATGATGAACGTGAAAACAGAGAGCATGTTGTTGTTTTTCTATTTTGGAAGGATTCTCTGAGTTATTTTATTTATCTCTTTATGTTCATGTTGTAATATTTCTATATGCCAACATGCATTTTAACAAGTGTGCACAATAATGATGATGGCAATGATGATAATGTTCTTCAAGACCACGTACAACATGTGTTTTCTTTTGTTTGTTTTGATGAGAAATGAAACAGGTTGTTGTTGTTTTTTTATGTGGTTTTGTGGCTCTGTGTATTATAACTGGTACACACAGTGAAGATGATGAAATGATGATTTACTATACGGAGACCATGTGGGGGAAAAAGAGATGATCTGCAGAGTATGTGTCTGAATGGTTCATTCATTGATTCACATTTAGAGTTTTGATTGTCCTGATTAAATTATGTGTCACAAGAAAACTAAGAAAATAAGAAATGTTGATATCACTGACTTGAAGTGCTGACTAACATTGTTTGTTGTGTATTTCTGACATAAATCTTCTTCTTGTGTTTTTAGTAATATTTTGGCCTTGTTGTTTTGATGTTTTTGCTCAGTCATAGAGCTACAGTATAGATAGTGACGCTGATGTAGTGGATGATGACTTCCTAGTACAATAACAGTTTGACACAGATGTCTAAAAAAATATCATCACAAGTTTGAATGGTTTTATTTTTCTATTTGTATTCGACATCGGAAAAAAAACATGTTAGTCAGTGAATGTGTGATTTTAATCTTCCTGAATTTGATATTGATGTTTAAAAGTTGTCTGAAGAGGCCGAGAGTAGGGAACGTGACGCTAAGTCTTGTTATTTCAGACAGACGATGAGTTCAGCAAGCTGGACGTGATATTTACATGTTCTTAATTCTGTTTTTGTTTTTGATGGAAATTGTTGTGTTCTCTTAATTCTCTATGTCAAGTGATAAAGATGATATACTGTATGTATAATAAATGTGAAAATGGGCCTAAAGCCACAAATGTTGAGTTAAATTGCGATTAAAGATTTCAGTAGAAATTATTTTTTTCTTCAGTCTTCTTTTGTTCAGGCTGTAAATAATAGCTGTCAACAATCACTCTCTCCAGCTGTTAGTCAGAACTATTAATAATCTGTGTGACTGAAATATGGGATAACACGTGTATAAACAGCAGTTATCTATTATTGCAACACTACAGTCTCCAAACAGAGTACATTTACACTGGATAAAATGTTTGCAGAGTGGGGTATCTATTAGAGGGTTTACTTTGTTGTTAGAATACTACATCTCTCTCAAATAAAATTGAGGTGACAGGAAATGAATTTCCACTGCTTACATCACTGAAGAACAATATTTCAAATGTCACAACATGCTCTCAGCAGTTCTTAGTGGAGTTTCAGTTGGTCTAATACCAAAACGTTTCCAATAAAGGAGTTTTCCTTTAAGTTTTTGATGACACGTTGCTCTCCTACACACCTGTCTCATTAAATTTCCTATTTTGAACTTCTCTACAATAAAAGTGTTGCAGTTCTGAAACATCCTCACAGTAACAAAGTAAAAACTGTCCCTCTGAAGGGGCGCAGATAGCGTAGCGGTTATGTAGCGTGCTACATGTATGGAGGCTATAGTCCTCATCATAGTGGCTGTGGGTTTGAATCTGACCTCCACCCTTTGCTGCATGTCATCCCCCACTCTGTCCTCCCAACATTTCCCGTCTCTCTTCAGCTGTCCTATCTAAAAAACGCAAAAACTGTCCCTCTGAAGAACATTTGTACGGGCTGTTTGTGTGCAAAGCAAACTGATATTTAGAGACAATCTTTCTAACTTCAAATCAAAGAACAATAACATGAAAAGTAGGAACATTAACATAATACGTCATTATTTGAAGATGTTAGGAGCTAAAATGAAAATGCAACAGAGAAGTACAGAGTAAGAATTGTGAGATATGAAGTTTGGCTGGTGGATTTTCTCCCAGTTGATTAAAGGAGATAATTGTTTTTAGTTCTCTTAAGATGAAAATAATGATTTGATCAGATAATGTTCATTGGCTGAACCAAGTACTCGCTGGGTCATAAAGTCTGCTCTCATACACAACACATCATGGCAACTGAAGGAAAAAACCACAAGGGCGCTCCGATCACACAGTCTTTAAACATAAAGATGAACACACCTGTGTGTCTGCTTATTAAGTTTTATTTGTCCACTCAGTGCTGAAGTCTATACATGGAAAGTCTTGAATTCTGCATCTAGCCTTTCTTGCACTACATTTCTATATAAAATTGTTGTATGGTTCTTATGCTGTTGTATTCTTGTGTGTTGTTCTTTGTGTTACCAGTGTGAGTGGTGTGCGTGGGGGACATGGGGATCCCCAGTTTCAGGCCCTCTTGTTTTCAGGGTCAAGCTGAAAGGTTTGGGAACCCCTGGTCTACCCAAGATTACAAGATCACTAGGCCCTGTTCACACTTGACTTCTTTTTTCAACTGCCG